TTGCGATATATCGCACAGCCCTACTTTTATGGATCATAGTACGATATATTGAAAATACTGACGTCATACTCAAACACAATATTGTGTTTTAGATGTCATTTAAGGTGGTCAACTTAAAAGCTTGTAAAAAAAAAATAAAAAAGTAGGGGGCATGTAGAAGATTGTACACATTTTGAACCACGTTTTGATCATTAATGTAGAGGCCTTAATTTAATGTATTACGTGATATAGTAGGCTTTAGTGTTAGCCAATTAGAAAAGTCCACAGGACCAAGAGAAATGGTTCACGTTAAGACAGTTTTATTTCCATCATAAATTGAAAACATTAAATAGAACTTCAGAATGTCCAAGCAATAAAGATACAATTTGTTTTTGAATGTGACGTTACAAACCAAGTGCTCCTCCCTTTCATTCAACCCACCCTGACACGTTTAAACCGACTCATTTACGAATGCTCCTCAGCCAGCTTCTCTGCCTTCTGGACAACCTCCTCGATGGGGCCCACCATGTAGAAGGCCTGCTCAGGCAAAGCGTCATACTCACCTAGGGAAATAAACATTATGAGCAACACTGAATAAAAACAAATACTGCATTACCAAAAGTGGATGTAATCAACAGTCAAGACAAAATAGAAGGACTTGAGTACTTACCACCAAGAATGGCCTTGAAGCCTTTGATGGTGTCTTTCAGGGGCACCAGCTTGCCCAAGTGTCCAGTGAAGACCTCAGCGACTTGGAAGGGCTGGGACAGGAACCTCTGGATCTTACGTGCACGAGCCACAGTCAGTTTGTCCTCCTCAGACAACTCATCCATACCCAGAATAGCAATGATATCCTGCAGGGACTTGTAGTCCTATGATGGAGAAGAACGGGAACAAGGTCACGGATTGGAATTTAAAAGAGGAGTTAAGCGCACAGACAAAACGCATTCGTTGGCACTCACCTGGAGGATCTTCTGGACGCCACGGGCTATGTCATAATGCTCAGATCCCACAATGTTGGGGTCCATGATACGGGAAGTGGAGTCCAGTGGGTCCACAGCGGGGTAGATGCCCAGCTCAGCAATAGCACGAGACAACACGGTGGTGGCATCCAAGTGAGCGAAAGTGGTGGCAGGGGCAGGATCAGTCAAGTCATCAGCAGGCACATAGATGGCCTATGAGAGACAATGACACTGTAGATCCAGGAAGTGCAAGTGTGTATGCCGTGCAAACTGAAGGAAGCGTACCTGCACAGATGTGATCGAACCCTTCTTGGTTGTGGTGATTCTTTCCTGCATGGTACCCATGTCAGTGGCCAGAGTTGGCTGATAACCCACAGCAGAGGGGATACGGCCCAGCAGGGCAGACACCTATGAGAACAAAAGCCAGTCAATAAAACGCTCAATTTAGGACAAGGACAAAAAGAAAAAAGGACCAAACAATCCTGACACTGACCTCCGATCCAGCCTGGGTGAAGCGGAAAATGTTGTCAATGAATAGCAGCACATCCTGCCCCTCCTGGTCACGGAAATATTCAGCAACGGTCAGTCCAGTCAGAGCCACACGAGCACGGGCACCTGGGGGCTCGTTCATCTGTCCGTACACCAGAGCCACCTAATGGGAACCAAGAGGACCTTGTAACTTGCTGGTAGTAGATTTTAAGTGGATTGTCAGAGGAATTTTAGATGTACCTTTGAGGTGGTGTCCTTCAGGTTGATGACACCAGACTCGATCATCTCATGGTAGAGATCGTTTCCCTCACGGGTTCTCTCTCCTACACCAGCGAACACGGAGTAACCACCATGAGCCTTGGCCACGTTGTTGATCAGCTCCATAATCAATACAGTCTTTCCCACA